TAAATCCGCAAAAAGCGATTTTTGCGAATTTAGACCATCTGATAAGGGTGTGGGGGAGAGGAGAAAGGGGATTTCATATCATCTTTATTTTCTTCTTTTTCATACAATATGCTGTGTTAAATTTATAGAAATTCACAAAAAATATTTAATGTATACTTTAAAATTAGACTTAAATATATAATATTTAGTCTTGGGCGAAGGAGAAGGGGTAATTGCCCTTAACCCTCTTATCCCCCTATCTCCTATGGATCCTCTCTTGGTTTAGTAAATACTTAAATAAACTCAAGAAGCACCTTTAAATCTAAATTCTTTCTATAAAAATGTTTCTGTGCATGCGATCCTACCGACAGCATTATTACAAATAAAAAATAAAAAAAGATTGTTAACGGGAAATAAAATCAATGTTGTTGTTTTCATCAAACCTGGAATTATTACTAAGCAACGCTTTTCTTAGAAACAATGGAACTTGAAGGAACTTGAATTTTTAAATTGTCTTTCGTATATTTGTTAAACTACATTTTTGTTTTAAATTACATTGAGATGGGAAATCATTTTTGAATATATCTTATATCTTATTAAGTTATTTTATAAAATTTGACAATTTTTTAAACGAATTACTATCTATTTCATATTTTTGTGTAGCAAAATCATTTTCTTTTATATTTTTAAAATCCTTGTTTGTAAAATCTAGAAAACTAAAGGCCAACAAATGCCTCAAAAAGCTTGTTATAAGTCTTTAAGTTTACTAAATTAATTCGGAAAAATATAACTATTGTTTTCTGAAGTTGAAAAATTATAAATACTTTTTATTTAAAAAAATTATTTTTCTAGTATAAGCTTTTTTATAAGACCTTTAAAACTTTTTACTCTGCCTTATTTTCAGCTCTTTTGTATGTTAAAAAAGTTAAGATTTTTGATGATATTAATGTTATAAATATGATAAAAAAACCATTTGAATTTGACAATTAATTTAATTCTTGTGTCTTGAAATTAAAAAAAATAATTCTTCATTTGAATCTTTGTTTAAGCCTTTTCAAATAAAGAGTTGTATCAAACTCTGACAGAGTTTGATACCAACTCTGTCAGAGTTTGATACCAACTCTGTCAGAGTTTGATACCAACTCTTGTGTGTGTGTGTGTGTGTGTGTGTGTGTGTGTGTGTGTGTGTGTGTGTGTGTGTGTGTGTGTATATTAACTCTGAATAATAGTAATAAATAATAATCTGCTATCTTTTACATATTTTCTTATATCGAGTTTAGAATCTCTTAGTAAAACATAACTAATACAAGTATTTATGGATAAAACAAATGCAAATTAGGCCTTTTATCCTAAGTTATGCAATTTTTGTTTTGAAAATGACATTACCAAACTAATTACATACTGATCTTGTCGCTTTTATTCAATTCATCTATCATTTAAAACTGGGAAAGCACAACAGACTGAGGTATTAAAAAGATTTTAGAAAGCTCAATGTTAAATTTTCAATGAATATTATTCTAAACATGTATACTTTACTTAAGTGACTAAATATAATATATCTCCTCTTGTTTTTTGTGTTACATAATGGATTGAAGATCAAGAACTTAAAAAGTTATTAACATTTTGTAAAATATATAGGTCTAGGGAATCCCTACTATAAAGTAAGCAGTATTACTGCAAAAACTATTATTATTTATATATTATTTTTTGCATTTCTTTTTAATCATTTGCTAGTACGCTAAACCTATGATGTTATTTTTATATAACAACCTTAATCAATATATGAAACACTTAACATTAAATTTCAATAGAACAGATGTTTTAGATGCAAAACTGTAAACTGACTGAAAATTAGATTTCTAAGAATAAAGTTATTTAAAAAAACAAGATATTGTACTGTTGTAAAGGATAAAAAAGAAAAACAACAAAATTACTTAAAATGGTGTTTCTGCTTTCAGCTATATTTGCATATATTTTCTGCAATTATTGGTATACAAATTTATGCAAAAAATCTCCTTTAAAATATTTCATTATACAAAAATGAAATGATCTGATAAGAAATATTGTTAAAGCAGTTGCAAAAGCAGTGGAAAAAGGATTAAACATCAGTAAAAACATGTTATAACCTAATTTAATGAGTAAATCATTAATAAGTATTGTATATATAAAAATATTAATGACTTGAACCGAGAATCTGTAGTTTTTTCTAAGTAATTGAAAGAATTGGTAAAAAAAAAGTAAACCAATGATTAAAAAGGTTGATTGAAAAATACTATAGGATTGCAGGTACTTGGCATATTTGGTACATAACTAAGGAATTAGCAATAAAGAAAGATTATTTTTGAAGCATTGTATAACTTATTTCAACAAAAGTTATTCTGGAAAATTAGAAAAATATAAGATAATAATTTGTTGTTTGATAAAAGATAATAAGTTTTAATAATAAAGATAATAACTTTTAATAATAAAATTTATGATTGCATGATGTTTTTGATGGTGTTCATTTTTATTTAACGTTCAATAAATTTTTCAACATTTTAGAAAAGGTAGTAGTTTTGTTTAAACTTTTATCATTCTCTCTCAAAGAATGATTAAGTCAAAATGTTATTTATTAGAGCAGCTTTTTGAGTAAATAATTATGTAAATGTTTAAGAGTTTTTGTTTTTTTTGACAGTGGTATAATAAATGTAACAAGGATGCTTTATTTTTTACTGCACATGATTTTTTCACGTAATTAAATCTGATCCTTGCTTAGGCCAGATTTGCTCATAATAACTGAAACAAAAATCAAGGAAAATGGTAACAATTGAAATAAAAATCACAGGAAATCATCTTAAGATATTGTACACCCTGATTATTGTAAACCCCAATAGTAAAAATATTAAAACAATTATGATGATAATAGTTCTATAGTTATTTTATCTCAAAGTTCTATATTTGTATAGCAAGTAGCTATTAAAAAAAAAATGTTTTTTATCTTTGTGTGTTTGTCTGTGCGTGTGTGTACGTGTGCTGACAATAAAAGTTTTTTAAACATGAAGGAACAATATAATGTAACTGAATGAGAAGTATTACAATTATAAGTTTTAGAGTTAGCTCATTTAAGCAGCTATTAGGATATCACTTTTAGATGAAAAAAGATATGCTACTTTGAACATGTTTAACTATTTACAACATTTCTATTTTTGCTATAACTGCTTTTTGTTGTGTTTATATAAAATTGTACTTCAGTTTATAGAAAAAGAATTAAAAAATGAATCAGAAAATAGCTCGATTGTCTAAAATGTTTTGCTGCAGTAACTGATTTAGACAACATATATTGCAATAACAGTACATCTCTTTTTTATTGATTAATTTTTATTTTTATCTTTATTTTCACCAAGTATGTTTAAAAACAGTATAAAAAATAGTTTATTGAAAAAAATTTATTGAAAGTTACACACCAACAACAAAATCAATATTTTATTAATAATATTGCATAACTAATTAAACTTTTTATAAGTTTTTAATTTTATCAATTTTATTGGTATTAATAATATTGCATAACTAATTAAACTTTTTATCAGTTTTCAGTTTTATCAATTTTATTGGTAAACACATAAAAATATTTCATATTAAAGCTATTTTTTCAATTAAAGAGAAAAGGGATTATTTCTAAAGATGCATCTATGTTTCGTCACTTTACCTTGATAGAATTTGTTTCAACAGAAAATTGTAAACAGATGGTTCATTATTTACTGAGTCCCACAAATTAGAATTAAAAAAAAAAGAATGAAAATTGTTCGTATACTAATATATATTTTTATACCTATATATTTGTGTTACTATCTTTCTAATTTAGGTTTAATTTTGTACAAACCTTTCAAAAAATAGTATAAATCCTTCTTTTTATGAAAATAATTCTTTTTTTTTATTATTTAAACATTTTATAAATTTTTAATTAGGGAAAAAAGCCAGTTTTAATTTACTACAACACAAACTAATTTGTGTTTGTATACTTATTTAGGTGTTGCTTTATATTAGTATTTCAGTCCTTTTTTTAATTCTTTACTAGTGAGATAAAGTTTCCAATAAAACACTAAGTCAGCAGTTATTGGATTAATACTTTTCAAATGTTTTTAAAATATATAGCAGATATATATATATATATATATATATATATATATATATATATATATATATATATATATATATATATATATATATATATATATATATATATATATATATATATATATATATATATATATATATATTTATATATATATATATATATATATATATGGGTGTCCTAGCCACCCCTTATATTCTAAAAAAGGTCTGTTCATATTCTTAAGGGGGAGCACAAGACCCTTGAACACTTACAGGGTCCCTAATAATATTAAAAAAAATTTTCTCAAAAGTTTGACATGTTGGGTCTCAAAAGAAGCGAAATTATATAAAAATTTTAAAAATAACAATCATTTTATAAAAAAATTATTTCAGAGTTTTATTATTTAAATTAAATTATTTAAGATTTTTTTGCAGAAAAATGACCTTTTTTAACCTAAAAATAAAAAAAGTGTATTTTTTCGATAATTATTCCAAAAAAAAAAAAAAATTGAATAATAATTTTTTTTTAATAATTGTTGTTTTTAAAATTTTTATATAATCTCGCTTCTTTTGAGACCCAACATGACATACTTTTAAGAAAATTTTTTTTTATATTATTTGGGACCTGGTAAGTGTTTAAGGGTCTTGTGCTCCCCCTAAATCCAATATATATATATATATATATATATATATATATATATATATATATATATATATATATATATATATATATATATATATATATATATATATATATATATATATATATATATTTATATATATTTATATATATATATTTATATATATATATTTATATATATATATATATATATATATATATATATATATATATATATATATATATATATATATATATATATATATATATATATATATATGCTATATTAAATGTAATGTTATGTTTCTAGTTATAAAGTAAAATGACTGCAGCTTCTTATGTTCGAAAAGATTTCAAAGATAAATTAGGAAATAACTTTCTTCAAGCAGGATTCTTGATTAACGATAAGAAAAACAAGCTTAGTTTTTCTAATTCAGCTCAGTTGGATTTTTCTAAGAAAAAATTGCCTTCTTTAGACACACAGCGAGTTCTATCAGTAATTGAAAACTTAATATGTCAACTTGAAATAGTAACTCTTATTCCTTTTGTTATAGAAAACTTAGATCGTTTTTCTGCAGTATTTGGAGATGCGTTAAATGGCTCTCTGCTAGAGTATTCTAGACTTCAACTTTTATATAACAAGCTTTTATCTAACACAGATAAGTCTGCTGTTGATAGGGAAACTTTCAACAGTTCATTTGTTATCAAGGATACAGCATCAAAAGTTTCAGATGTTCTTAATAGAATTTTAACTCTATTTCGATCAAATCCTACTGCAACATTAGTAGTAAAAAATAGTTATAAAGAACGTAGTAATGAAGCCAATAACTTTATTTTAAGCATAGCATCTATAAAAGATCATCTCAATATTAGATTAAAAACACAGATGAGTGAAGATGTTGAACAGAAAGTTTTTACTCTAAATTCGATTGTACGAGGGCATCAATGCCAAGCATTGATATATAAACTTGAAATAGAATATAACATAGCAGAGAAATTGAAAGACGACCTGGTAAGTATACTAAATATACAATTAGTTGTACATTAAATGGTTGTTCTTTTTATTTAATATAACTTTATTATAGTTATGTATAGATTATTATATGTTATGAAGTAAGATGGCTTTGGTTAGTTAGTTTACAAACCCCTATAACATTGTATAAGTTACATTATGTACTGTAACTTAAACAAGATTCATTATAACAAATGCAAATTGTATTTTATGTAACTAAAACATAACATTTTATCTAGTGACACATAGCATTTTTAACCTAATGAGATCTAATGATACGTAACACTACAACCTGTGGTATCTTTCTATTTTTATGATCTTTCTATTAATTAGATATCTATATATGAAATATATATATATATATATATATATATATATATATATATATATATATATATATATATATATATATATATATATATATATATATATATATATATATATACACATACATACATACATACATACATACATATATATATATATACATATATATATATATATTAGAGCCCTGCAAATCATCAGTTTTTGTTTTGAATCAAATCTCGAATCAAAGCAGGTTTTAATTTGCGATTCGAATCACATTTCAAATTAACATTTTAAAGTCTAAATTTAAGCATTTCTTATGTAATAATATATATTTCAATATTAAATAAAATAAAGCAAATGTATAATCTCTTTATTGATGCTTCTTGCCCTGGTTAACCTTTTTAATGACTGATTTAAAAGGTGTTTAAGGATAAGTTATGTTTTTTTGATAGCGCCAAAGCGCAGAGTATCTGAAGTACCCACAACAAAAACAAAATAAGTAAGGATTTGATTTTTAAAAATTTTCTAATCGTATCTCGAATTGAAAATTTATATATATATAATATATATATATATATATATATATATATATATATATATATATATATATATATATATATATATATATATCAGGCCTTGCGATAAAGCGTCGGGCGATGTAAATTTTACGTCGTCCAAGAGTGATTTTGCATGTAGCTAGGGCTATTTGCGTCAAGCAAAAAATTTTTTGTTTGAGTATATTTAAAAATATTTTAGAGCGGAATTTTAATGAAGTAATTTACGATTATTTTAAGATTTAATAAAGTATTTTAAAAACCGTACGCAGTTGATATAAAAGTTTGAATTACAAAAAAAATAAATATGCTCATTATTTACAAGTAGAAAAATTCAGATTAAAAAAAAGTTTAAATCTTTTTAAGCTAGCATTTTAATAAAATTAATCAGCAGTAGCAAAGTTGTCGATAAAATTGAACAAAAATACTTTCTTTTAGTTTTAGATTTTTAAGTTAAATAATTATTTTACGGGGGTTTGTTAGGTTTTAAAATTATTCCATAGATTTAAAAATATTTATTAACTGTTAGAAACATTTTAAAAATTGGTAAGCGCAAAAAAAAAAAAAAAAGGATTAATATTAAAACGTATTCTATTTGATTCAATAAATAAGTATAGTTATTAAAATTTTTGTAATAAGTAACTCGAAAAAAATTACTTAAATGATAGCAATCACTTTTTTGTTAAAAGTTACCGAAACTCAACGAAGCGTGCTTAAGAACAGCTGCTGAAATATAGAACGTCAATAGTTTTTCGAATAATTTTTAATAATAATTTTTAAGAATAATTTTTTCGCTGAATTATTTCTTTTATACCTAAAAGATTTTTATTCTAACATTTTATTTTATTTTATTTTACCAAAAATAAAATTCCTTGTAAACATTAAAAATCTATTCAAAACGTTCGTTAAAGTTTTTTAATAATACGAGTGATTGTGCTTATCAACTTCATGAAAATAAATAAATAAATGAATATTATATAAAATCGCTAGTAAAAGTATTAGCTATTGCACAGTTTTTAATCGTACATTATTAAAATTTACAGTTTATTACTCTCTGACTTTTTCAAAAGAAAAAATAATTATTTGAAAATTTATGTTTTTTATTCCTTTAGTATAGACAAAACGTGTCAAACGTCAAGAAAATAAACAAATGTTTTTACATTTTAAAAAACAAAACATTCCAAAACATTTTTAAATAATAACATTTCTTCATTAATGATTTAAAGAAGTTTTGCGGTAATTAAGTAAATTGGTGCAGTTAATGTAGATAAATATGAAAAGCAAATAAAAAGAATTTAATGGCGTCAAAAATCACGTCGTGCTTATGCATCACGCAGTTTTTATTCATCACAAGGCCTGATATATATATATATATATATATATATATATATATATATATATATATATATGTATATATATATATATATATATATATATATATATATATATATATATATATATATATATATTAAATATTGCACAGAGAAACAAGCTGAGTATGATACTATCAGAGACGTGGTGGAGACGTCTAGCTACTGCTTAACACACTTGCTGTTGCAATACAAATGCAACAGCAAGTGTGTTAAGCAAATTTTATGAGTAAGTTTGTTATAAAAAATTTTATTTAATGTAATATGTCGTTATAGTTAATTTTTTTTTTTTTATGATGTCCTTCCATTTTATGAAAAATAAATTGTACAGATATTTGATAGTTTTTAATGCTTTTCATTAATTTTTAGAAAAACAAAAAATAAAAAATAAATATAGTGCCTACTAGTAAATATGGATTTAAAAGAAAACCTATACCTATTTAGAAATATTTTGTTATAAAAAAAAACAAAAACATAATACACCTTTACCATAATACAATCTTCTTTACCATAATACAATCTTCACCGTAAAAGAAGATAAACCTCTAGTTGATTACATATTGAAACCTGTTGATCTTTATTATGGACTGACTTTGAAAGTTGTTAGAAAAATTGCTTACCAATTTTGGGAAAGCAAATCAAAAAAAGTATGATGCATCTTGGGATAGAAACCAGATGGCTGGAAAAGAGTGACTGAAAATCTTCTGAAAAAAATGTTCTAAAGAATTATCACTCAGAAAGCCTGAGGCAACAAGTCTGGCCCGCTCAACTGCTTTTAATAGACAAAATGTAGCACTTATTTTTCAAAATTATGAAGTAGCTCTTAGGAACAAAATCAAGGTATTACAGCATTTAACATATGGAATGTTGACGAAACCAGTATTAGCACTGTCCACAATCCTCCTAAAATCTTTGCAAAAAAAGGTCAAAAGCAAGTTGGTGTAATAAGCAATAAATGCTGGTGGTGGCTATATGCCTCCAATGTTGATTTTCCCTCGTAAGAAGTTTAAGGACTTTATATTAAAAGGGGCCCTAGAAGGTACACTTGGTGGAGCAAACCCATCAGGATGGTCAAATGAAGACTCGTTCAAGTAAGGAAAATCTTTCTATTCTTTTACTTGACAACCATGAGAGTCATCTTAATACCAACAATCCATCTAGAAAAATATAATGGGATTACAATGGTAACATTTCATCCACACAGTAGTCATAAAATGCAACCAATAGACAGAGGCGTATTTAAGACATATTACAACAATAGAATAAAGAATTGGATGTTAAAACCAGGCAATACTGGGAAACCAGCAACAATCTATGATGTATCAGAAATTGTTGGACAAGCATTTCCCTTACCTTTTACACCAAGCAACATTACACACAGTTTTCTAGTAAGTGGCCTTTATCCACTGAATAAAAACATTTTTAAAGATTATGAGTTCTTGCCATCCACTATAACAGATCGACCGCAACCTGTGTCTGAAGACCAGCCTGGAAACAAAAGTAAGCATATTGAAGACTTTTTGAGCAGACCTGGGCCCTCAACCAATGCTGAGGTAACTAGCTGCAGTCTGGCTTCTTTTGCGAACCAGATTAACGCTAATATTTTATCTCCTGATATTATTCTACCTTACCCAAAAGCTCAACCACGAAAACAAACTGGAAAAGATCGTCCTAAGAAAAAGTCTTGCATTTTAACTTCCAGCCCTGTAACACTTCAAATTGAAAAAGAAAAAGCTAAAAAAAAAAAAAAATCTTGCAATAAAATGAAACACAAAACTGATAATAAACAACCGGAACTTGTTTTGAAAAAAAAGCTGAGCTTTACCTTGGAGCAAAGTACAGAATTAGAGGAAAATCTAGATTTAGTATCGGATAAAGTGTCTGCTCAGTCAGAAGTAGACTTCAAAGTTATGAAAGATTCAGATTTTAAAAAAATCCAGCCAGGAGTTTTTATCTTGGCATAAATTCATGGCAAACGTGCTGTAAAAAACTTTTTTGCAGAGGTGCTAGAAGTTGCTGACATGTTTTTCAAAATTCAGTACTTAAAAAAAGACACAAACTCAGAAAGATTTACTAGAGAAGATAAAACTGTGTATGAATTGGACAAATCAGACATGATCTTTCAGTTGCTGCATCCCTCTATTACAGGAGGTTTAGCATGACAGCTGGAAAAATTATCATTTGGCATTAACTTTGATAACCTAAATGTAGAGTAGTCAAATACTAAATCAAAGTGAAAGACTTTAATTTACTGAACTTTAATGTATAATTTTGTTATTACTCTTTTCTTAATAATTTCTTATGTACATTTTTTAGTACTTCTAAATTTAAATTAGTTTAAATTTATAATCATATATAGCAATATAAATTAATATACAGTTTATATAAATTTAACTAGTTTGATAAATGTTATCTTTAATGAGGCTGATGTGAAGTCTAATTATCATATAAGTAAACATTATATCAAATTTCTATCATGTTGAGTACTTAATTTGTTAAAACAATAATACCTCCAAGGTACAACATAAGTACCTCCAAGGTACACCACCAGTATTGTACCTTGACTGCAGTGGAAGCTATTTTTAAAAATTAAAATAATGGATGAAAAAATATTTCTGGATGTTTAATAAAAAATCCTAAAGTAACTAATATCATCAAGTTAAAGAAAATATATTGTTTCAGATCATATTGTAAGTAATTTTCTTATATTTGAAAAAGTTCGAAAATACCTCCGAGGTACACCACTCTCCTCTATATATAAAAATTA